TCTTTTGATTGGACTAAAAGAAGGCTATGAAAAATTATTGTACAGTGATTACGGTACGGCATTTTGGTATCTCTGATAAGGATATCCGGATTTATCGTCAATTAAAAAACGGATTGGTTAAAACTGTTATGGTAGTTAGTGTTCTGAACTTCTCAAACGACAACCTGGATTTTTCAAGGTCAGTGTAAAGAGGTCGCTTGTAACATTACTCGTCCACGTCTTTTCATCGGGTAAAACAGTGGAAGCCGAAAGCATGGGTATGTATTTTTGTGCATATAATCATCCGTTCTTTTACAGACGCTAAATTGATTAACTGATTCAACATACGCGACATCGTTGGATAATGACTCAATATCGGACGTCATTATGCTTGTCGAATATGTTGGAAGGCCACAAACTGACTAATTATCTGCGTGAATCAAAATTAAAGTTTAATGTAATTCTCATGTTTTAAATTTTTTTGTATAAGCGACTCTTTATTTAAAGCGGTGATACTCCAGTGAGATAGCCGTTGTTTCTCAAAAGCATATGGCTTAACTTTTTAAGTTAAGTATGTACATTTATACATTTGTGAATGTAGTATACATTCTACCAGGACTTTGTCCCAAATTCGGAATATCTTTATCTAATTTTTTTTTAAATAAATATTTATACGAATTCCGCGCAATTCATAAGACAAGCAGGACTCCTCGTGTATGAATTCGCAATATATTTTTCTTTATTTTTTTATAATATCAAGTGATGGGACGAACAAGTCGTGCGCTTGACGGTAAGCTACACGCCTGTCCATAACAGTTGCAGTGCCACTCAGAGCTTTAAATTGCAAAGATCTGAGGGGCACTGCCACTGCGCCCATCACCCTGAGACATAAGTTGACAAGTCCCATGTGCCTGTAATTTCACCAATATATATGCTGCAGTTGGTCGCGCACAACTCCCTTTTTAAAAAGCATTCGTCCAGGGAAGTACTGCCAACTTACCCATTTCTACCACCAAGCAGTAATGGTCACAGTACCGTGTTCCGGTTGTGAAGGGTAAGGGTGCTGGTGAAATTACAGGCATATGAGATCACTCCTTCGTAAAGGATCGTATGTCGAAATTGCCAAGTTTACGGGGGAGCGTTTTAAAATTCTAAATTCATTCGTTACTCATATAGAGTGATCATCTAACCGATATCTAGAATTTTATAATACTCTATGTGAGTAACAGCTTTGCCGAATAAAACTGAGAAATGCTGAAGTCACGTATTATGCTTAATTCAGTGAATTCAGAAGTTTAAAACGCTCCCCTGTAAACTTGGCAATTTCGACATACGATACTTTACGTAGGAAGGGTCGAGTCTTGTCAACTATGTCTCAGGGTGACGGGCGCAGTCGCGGTGCCCCCAGATCTTTACTATATAAACCTCTGAGTAACACTGCAACTGTTATGGACAGGCGTGTGGCTACCAGGCGCGCGACTTGTTCGTCCCGTCACTTGGTATTATTGAAAAAAAATATTTTCATTCAATTACACATCAATACAGTAAAAAACTTTGAAATTTATAAATAGACAATTTTAGCAATTCACGAATGGATGGACGCTCATCCATCCTCTCACAAAACCTCAAACATTCAACATACACAGCCACCCGTCTACTTGCAAACTCATCGCAGTCTGGTGCTGCTAATGTACTCTCTTTTTCCAACCGACATACGTCCGAAACAGTTACTGTCAAATAAGTAATACTCGAATAAGTTATAAGACGCATGACGCGAATGAAGCTTCATACTTGACATTGTCTTTTCATTATGTCTAATATTAACTTGACAGTAATTGTTTCGGATAGATGTCAGACGGACAACGAAAGTAGACGCCCAGATACGATTAGCGCATTAAGATAGTGCAGACCGCGAAGAAGCGGTGATTTACTAAGAGACACAGTGCGCACCGCCGCCGTCATTGCCAGCAGACGATGAACGCGAGGCCGTAGATTCAATTTATTTATTTAAATTTTTTATACAAATGATATGCCATTATTTTTATGTGAAATTACTCCACTAGTTTGTTATTATTATTAATCCAAAGATCGAACGCGCAGAAAAATTCCTTCGATTCGGCCGGATTCGAAACGACGTCTTCTAGCATACCGTGGCAGACGCTATACCAGCTAAGCCTTGGAACGAACCAGCGGACCTCACGAATTTTTCTATATAATTGCGTCGTATCTTTGTATTTGGTATTTCAACGACTTTTTAGCCGCAGCGCCATTTATGAGAAATCCATGATATTTCGTTACCCAGTTAGATACCTTTACAGCTACCAGCCCCGGCATGAGATGTCTGTCTGATGATGTAAATTTATTTAGCTCGGGGACGAACAGGCGCACCAGTTGCGCCATCATATAATTTAGATTACCTGGAGGAATTCGGTGAGCTCTCGGCACTCATCTGCATCTCTTTCTCTTCAGCCGCCGAAACGTCGGGGATGTTTTTCACCTGCAATATTACAATAACATTAATAAAGGGCGCCCTCGGTGTAGTAAACATTTCAAGACAAGTTTAGGATAGTTTAGATTTTATAGTTTACTGCGTTCCAGTTTTGAAGGGTAAGGGTGCTGGTGAAATTACAGGCACACGGGACTTGTCAAGTTATGTCTCAGTGGTAGTGCCCCTCAGATCTTTGCAATTTAAAGCTCTGAATGGCACTGTAACTGTTATGGACAGGCGAGTCGCTTACCATCAGGCGCACGACTTGTTCGTCCCGTCACTTGTTGTTATATATATAAAAGTTTTGAGGCTCATCATGAAACTATCAAAGTTAATTTATACAAAACAAACATTAGCTCAGAGCAGATGAAAATACACATCTATTTAATTTATTTTATGACTGAGAGAAAAAGGATCAAACATTAATAAAGACGACCGTTTAGATTTTTTGCCGATTAGATCATTTAAATTCATGCCATTTAAATTTAAATACAATTTTAATTTCATTTGAATACAATAATAACATTTTTATAGAAAATGCGACCGCAAAGTTTATGGAATTATATCTATTTGCCAAGTTTTATTGAAATCGATTAACGGAGAGTGGCTGAAATCCAAGTAATCGCGTAAAATAAAAATAAATTAAATAGAGAACCTACTCCTTTTTGTCGAGTCGGTTAAAAATTACAATAAATAATAACACTGTAATGGTATATTACAATGTGTATTATACTCAATATATACATAATTACATAATATAATATATTACACTACAATAGGTATTCAAGCTCAATTGCACCAATTTTATTATTGCGTTCCGGTTTTGAAGAGGTGCTGGTGAAATAACAGGCAAATGGGACTTCTCAACTTATGTCTGAGGGTCGTATTCTAGAACTCTACTCAATGCTCAAGTCAGGATTGCACTGGAAACACAAGCACTGGAAATACGACCCTAATGGCAGGGACTTGAATATGATTTCGAGTGCTTTAAACCATACTCAAATCCTGACTTGAGCAGTGAGTAGAGTTCTAGAATACGACTCTCAGTGTGAATGGCGCAGTGGCAGTGCCCCTTAGATCTTTGCGATTTGAAGCTCTGGGTGGCAACGCAGCTGTTATGATGTGTGTGGTCTGAGGGCCCACATGATTTTTGCCAGTTGTAACAACTGGAATGTTTAGTACAAGTCGTAAAGCATTTTGTAAAATGCATCCTGGAATTTGTAAAGCATATGTTAAAAGGGTATACCACCTAAGGCGCGGTCTCTCAGTTCTCACACCAAAGCTTCCATTTCTGGGTAAGTATTTATTTAGGCATATTTTATTAATAGAAATTTTGTAAAAACCTCTTTAAACATTTACACAACGAATAAAACGTAATTTGGCAACGATTATATATTATTACACTGTTCGTTATAAAGTCCCTGAGGGCCCTCATTTAAAAAACGAATAAATGAGTAAATTAATTAAAATATTTATCCGCAAACTTTAGTAAAAATCACAAGGAAGATTGTAAAAGCAAAGGATTTCGTAAATTTCATATTTATTTGTGGTCCGTCAGTTCACACACTATTCATAGGGCGCACTATAAGTTTTCGAAACTGGCCACTTACATAAACAATATTTAAAAAGTAATTAAACCATTTGAAAATGGGACTCTCTGGCTGTAGAATACAGTTTGTTTCATCGGACTGTCACTTGTTTTTACATTATGGCGTCATTTTAGAAATTGGTTGTCTACATCACCATGGATTTAACTCGTGAAAATTTTCGTAGTATGATTTTCTAAGACTTTAAGTGTAATTTAACTGCTCAGCGGAGCTTCGCTCGACTTCAAATTGGCAATGAAGCACCATGCAAGACGACTATTTATAGCTGGTTTGCAGAATTCAAACGCGGTCGTGTGAATCTCAATGACGAATTTCGTAATGGTCGCCCGTCCACTGCTGTGAACAACGAAAACATCGATGCTGTGCGCCGGATGATCAAAACAGAAAGGCATGTGACATACCATGGGATTCAGGCATCTTTAGGCATAGGCATGAGCCAAATACAATCAATACTACACAAACATTTGGGTGTGAAAAAGCTGTGCTCTCGGTGGATCCCACACAATTTGACTGATGCTCAAAAAACGATTGCGTCACTTGGTGCAATGTCACGCTTACCATATTCAACGAAGAGGCGTCAAATTTGGTGTAGGACATAGTAACAGGTGACGAAACATGGATTTATAGTCACGATCCCAAAACAAAGCGCAATCGAGCGTATGGGTCTTTCGAGATGAGCCGAAACCAACCAAAGTGGCGCGCGTGCAAAGTGCCTCTAAGCGGATGATTGTTTCTTTTTTTAATAAAACTGTACACGTGGCTACTGTTGCTTTGGAGAATCGTTGTACCGTGAATAGTGATTGGTACACGACCCTTTGTTTGCCGGAAGTTACTGACAAACTCCGTAAAAATAACCGTAAACGTCGTATCATCTTGCACCACGATAATGCCAGTTCTCACACGGCCAGACTGACAAATGAATTTTTGAAGGTGAACAACGTTGACCTTATGAGCCATCCCGCGTACAGTCCCGACCTGGCACCTTGTGACTTTTATTTATTTCCAAAAATTATGAACCAGTTACGCGGTCAACGATTTTCATCACCTGAAGAGGCTGTCGAAGAGTATGAGAAACATGTTTCAGAGATTGTCACGGAGGAGTGGCATAAATGTTTTCAAAATTGGTTCATTCGTATGAAAAAGTGCATTAACGGAGACCATTTTGAGACACAATAAATTCATTTCTGACCATTTGTAGTATTTTTTTCTTATTCATTCCGGAAACGTATAGTGCGCCCCACGTAGAAATGTGAATTAATTAAAATATCCTAAAATATAAGCAATATAGAAATATTCGTCCTATTGAGGTTTAGTCAAAAAGCTGTTTCTTTTAAATGGTGGCTTATTAGACAAGATAATTTGCTTTTCAATATTTCCTTAGCCGAGTATCTAGTAGGGTGTCCACATAATTGAGACTTCTGTGGCACATACAATTAGAACTATTTTCGTTATTGAAATTTAAAAGCAAGCGTGCTGATACCTTTACTAGGCTAAATAAATGCCGATAGCCGAGGAAAATGCAATACTTCAATTTACATTAGTTAGTAATTATCACTTATTTAATCATTGGAGGAAAAATTTAAGAGAAAACATGCCCAAGGCGCATTGTCAAGGTCTAGTTATAGGTTGTCACGCGGATGACTAGCACCGCCCAAGCATGTCCAAGGTTGTACGTTGTAGTGTAGCCTTGATGACGTCCTTGTAGAATTTACCATTTCTTGACGTATTGGAAACTGTTTGCGGTAGCTTCGACATTTTGATCTTTTCCACAAAAAGTGTGTGACATGTGCACAAACCCGTTAAATCGTTATAAAACGTACATAAGAAATTGTATTTGTAATTTAATATGGAATGATACACGATGAGAGAAAGCACGTCTTGTCGGCTCGAGAATTTTGATGGGAGTGACGGCGGAACGTAGCAAAGTAAGAATGACAAAGAAAAAGAATTAGAGAACGATTAAAAATTTCAAAATGGCCAGGAACCAGAGAAACGGGTGATAAAAAGGTTGGATGACAATGAAAGAGGTTGCATCGTCACAAGCCTTTTTAAAGACAGCCTTTATGCCTAATGATGTCTGTTACATATATCCTGTTTATGGTTGGTTAAACTACATACGTATTTTGTTATTGTATTTTAAATGAAGTATCCATCAGCGGCGGGCGGGATAGAGTTGTAAGCAGCCACAACACTGCATTTCAAGAATTATATTGACCCTAATAATCAAAATTGTTAATTTTCAGACTTATAAAACAGCTATTTTCAAAATCTTTATTTTATTATAAATAAGACACAAAGCGTCTTCTATTGGTCAAAACAAGATGTTACTCAACTTAAAAACGCGTAGAATGTCAGATAGGCTGCATAATTTTTTTACGATTGCACTGAGAAAAATCAATTATGGTAGTGTGTCCCTGCTTTGCTCCATTATGAGAATTACACATTAACACAATAATTTTTTTCAAAATTGTGAACTGGACTTTTTAGTGATAAATATCACACCTATGTCAGAGAACAAAAAAGTAACGAGAATGGACAATCTCCGCCCCTCCCTAGTTTTAGATACCGCACCAACCGCACATTGACTGATCGGCAACAAGGCTGCCGGCGAGCTGTTTTCGCGCTAACACGGCTTTGATATTTGAATGTAGTTTTCATTTATTCATTACGAAACTTGTACGTTAATATATAAATAACATCATTGTACGTTAGTATTTATAATGGTCGTGAATTGTGCTGTGTACGGCTGTTTATAATCATCTAAACAGGATAAAGAGAGGAGTTTCTTTCGTTTTTCGACAGATGAAATGAAGTAAGTAAAAAAAGCTTATATCTGAGACTCGTTCAGTCATTATTTTCTTCATTTATTTACTGGAACGTAATTTATACACAGATTTATTATATCAATATAATGAGACGCCACAATTTCGTGACCTAAACAAGGATTATCTAATTTTCAATTTGTATTGCCGATAAATATTACGAAGTGAATATACTTAATTATTAACTAGGTAATGATACACTTGGACACGTAATTTCAAATATCATGGTTACCTTATTTAAAAGTACCTGTCCAAAATATAACATTTTAAGTGCTGTTAATATATTTTTTAAATAAATATTTAATCTTCCATATTGTCGCCTTACTTTCCCAAACTTAAAATACAAAGTTACTGAAATGCAAAAAATGGATTGTATGTTGCAGGCTGATTTCGCATACATTTCCTTCATATTTACGCACTGGCTTTTATCTATTCTTAAAGAAATGCATCCAAATTACCACCCTTGATAAGAAATTTAAAATAAATAGAAAGTTTTACCATCTTCTGAATATTCACTCTTTATAATATACGAGTTTGAGAAAGTAAGGCTTCAATATTATTCTAGTTAGTGAATTAATGAAAACTATAATATTATATCCATGTTAATACCTAATGAACATGTGTAATTATTAGTATTCTACTAATTAATTATAGATAACAGATTCACATTAGAATTTTCTGACCACGTAACGTAACAAATAGTACGAGAAGTGATGGGTAGCCCTGCCACTTCACGCACACATTTGCATGTGTGCAGATATGTTTATATCTGCACCGGGCCTTGCTGTATGTAGTAGTAGTAGTACATAACTTTCGACCGTCGTATGGAGTGTCCGGGATGTGCCTATGTCTATGTCACACCTTTGTAGTCTAGAAATATTTTACAAGTGTTTTGTTTTGCTTGATTTTCTCTTTTTGTTTTTTGTAGGTATCAAATGGTTGAATGCTAATTTGATTGAATTTATTTGTAAAAAAAGTTGTTATATTTAGACATACTGGTCATACTTTCGTAATTCGAAAACAAATTAATGCCTCTATGTATAGTTTTTATTATAATATCAATCGACGGGATGAACAAGTCGTGCGCCTGATGGTAAACTACACGCCTGTGCATAACACCTGCAGTGGCGCCCAAATTTCTTAATCGCAAAGATATGAGGGGCACTGCTACTACGGCCATCTCCCTGAGACAGAAGTTGACAAGTTCCATGCGCTTGCAAAATTTCACCAGCACCCTTGAGGCACATTATTCGACAGGAGTTTCATCGCGCTCACCCTGCGACCGCCGCGCGGAGACCGCGTGAATCAACTGTCATGGCAAAATACGCTCTATTTATTTAACCTTTACGTTTTAACGTAAATGAGCGTCTCGGGCGTACGGGCGAGACTGGCTTGAATTTGGTCTACGCGAATGTATTATTCAGAGGAATTTAAATATTGTTGCCTAGTAAATAGAATTCAGATTCGCCATTAATGTACATGAAGGCGTGGTAACTGGGCGGTCGCCGCCCGGCGGCCGCGCGAAATCTTTCGCGTCGTGTAACTGAACGTTTATCCTTCAAAACCGGAACACAGTAATGCTGACATTCCTGCTTGGTGGCAGAAATAGGTAAGGTAAAGAGATCTACTGCTACTAAAATAATGCCATGGATACCTTTAATTTAAATGCATGCATAGTACTATGTGGTACCATAACGGTTAAAAGGTTTGTTTTTAAATTTAACGCATCTATATGCATTTAATTGGTAAGCTTTATTAATAGGAAATGAAACTATTTTTCCGGATTTAAATCGCGTCGCATGGTTACGGTTGACTGGCCAACGGGGACCATGTGACCTGTAAAGGGTCCGAAACGTCGGTTTGTTTGAAAAAACAAATATACGCGATTTAAATCCGGAAAAATAGTTTCATTTCCTATGTGTAACAATCGCGAAAACCTAAGAACTAGATAAGCTTTATTAATTTTAAGTTTATATCACGAAGTATTACTTTGTCATAGGAATGACATTAAATTATTTGTTATGAAATTACTCCACTGGTTTGTTATAATTGTTAATACAAAGAAAAATTCATCCGATCCGAACTTTCATAGATTTCTCGATTCCTTACCGGTGGCGCAACGGCAAGTCACTAAGGGTCGTATTCTAGAACTCTACTCAATACTCAAGTCAGGATTTGAGTATGGTTTAAAGCACTCGAAATCATACTCAAGTCCCTGTCGTTAGGGTCGTATTTCCAGTACTTGTGTTTCCAGTGCAATCTTGACTTGAGCATTGAATAGAGTTCTAGAGTACGACCCTAAGAGTCGATACTATCTCAGCTCGAATTCTAATTTTTCGCGTACTAATACGGTTCATTTAGCTTGGGTCGCAAGGCAGGGATACTGGCTTTATTTCAGAATTTATATTTTTACAAAGGAAATTAAAACCATTTGAAAAATGTATGTCGTATAGTATACGAGTGTTATAATTTGTTCAATTGATATAAAAAAAATCATTGGTATATGCAAAGTAAAATTTCGAGGTAACTTTGTGTTTTTTTTTCTATCGTACTTTTTTTTCGGAATCGTGTTTTCACACCGTATATTAATCAGTGTTACTATATATTTTTTCCAAAATGATTGATTCAATACTCACTGTCATACGGAATTAACCAATAACCAAAGCCATTTAAGGTTGTATAGATTCTTAAAAGACCAAAAGTAAAGGTCTGCAAAAAGCACATAGTAAAATTCGTAAGTTCTGCTTTTTTGTTTTCTAGCTCAGTTGGGAGAGTGTCAACCACGGTATGGTGAAGGCGCTGGTTCTAATCCAACTTTGTATTGATCATTATAACAAGCCCTATTAAATAAATAAATATCGAATTTTGCTGGTTATGTTGGTTAATCGGTCAGTTCGCAAGAGTTTTCTTATAAATAAATAAATGACATTGTTTTTAATTACTTAAAAAAGCTTGGAAATGTTAATAAAAAAAAAACTCACCAAATCTCGTAGGAAATCGAACCTGGACTCAGCCAGAATGCATTGCTTCACATGTGAGGGACTGAGTGTCTTCGCATTCCGAGCCAACGTGACCTGCAACGCCTTGCTCAGTAGCGACTCTACGAAGAGCTCTAGCGTGCGAGGTGTCGGTGGAAACACAACTAAGTTAAGGAGATTTTGGTACAATATTTACACACGCCCTGAAGAGTGGATATTTGTAGAAGTTAAGTCGACGTAGATTAAACTCAAAATATCTATTCACTAAGACAACACAGTACCTACAGGTAAATCAAATTACAGGACATACAAACTTAAATTATACAGGTATACTATTAAACCCTTTATACTCTGTAAATGAATTTATGGACCTAAAAATGAAACACTATTAAGTATTTCCTATTTTATTTTAATGTCCATGTTTATGTACTATTTGATGTATTTGTTATCAACTTATGAGGATCCTTGATGAAGAATGATATTTGAAATGTAATTTAATAACAACAATATTATTATTCATGAATTGGTAATTTTACGATTATTGTGTATTTTTCATTTTATAATTTTCATTTTTGTTTGACGATCTCAATATAATTTCTTATACTTTGACATGTAGTGCAATTTGTACAGTAATATTATGTTTGAGATAAAAATGAAACTGAATTGAAATATAATAATTTAACCAAAACATCGCTTCCGCGTATTCCGGTTGGCGCATCACATTTGCTGATGCTTCAAAACTTTCAGCAATAAGTCCTCTAGGAGCAGCAGTATGTATCCCATCTGGTAAGATAAGTTTAAGCTTCAAATGCTCGTCATACTCTTCGGTATTTACTGGTGAAGCAATTGCCCTACTGGAATGTCAAGTCTCATAAACTCAATAACGCCATGATCTTCACCGATTCCAAAAGTTGCCTTCAATCCATCTTGTCAAATACTTTCCACTCTTCCTTCCGGTTCCTAGTCACACTTAGGATTCAAGAGGCCCTATTAGATTGTCACAAGCAAGGTATAAAGGTGGTGCTAGTCTGGACCCCTGGACATGTGGGAATCCCACGCAATGAGACAGTAGATTCCTGTGCGAAATTGGCTTTCCGCATTTTCTACGGAACACATGACCTTTGTTTACTCCCAAAAGCCCTCCGACTCGGCGATATTTAGGCTATGTTCGAAATAGGAAAAGGATATTTTAGGCTACTTAAATAAAATGTCTGGGGAATTACAAACTTGATTGGGATTTTGTGGGCAATGGAGTTGTAAAACAACTCTTTTAGGGGTTTGAGTAGTTCTACATGTGGTGAATTGGGGGGAAATAAGAGAGATCATATTCCCCAATCTCTGGCAGCAAGTACAATTATAGAATTGTTTTTCTTGATTTTTAGGGATTTTAGGGCTTGGATGAATATCGGCTATTAACACACATAAATTGGCAAATTAACTTCGCAAAAGTCTGCCAACACTGGTCACAATCAATAGTGAACTAAAAATTACTGAAGCGCTACAGAAGACGCACGACTATTGCACCACTGTCGCGCCACGGTAGTGCTTCTATAAGCGTCTAATTTGTAGAAGCCCTAATAAAAAATCGACATGTGGCCAAAAATGGACTTAACAAAAAATCAATAGAAAGTATTTAAGCCCTGGTTTTTCAAACAATCAATGTTTAGTAAACAGGCCGTATCCACCATCTGTCGCTTGGGCAAGCATGTACACCTGTTCATCTTGCCAAAATCAGGATAAGGGATACCTCTCTCTGTGAGTGAGGCATTGAGGATGGCACCATAGACCATGTTCTTTTTAACTGCTTAGGGCAGGCAAAATTTTTTGACTTGTCTATTAAGTCTCAGACTTTCAGGCGTATTAGTAGTATCCTTCAGATCTTTGCGATTTAAATCTGAGTGGCACTGCAATTGCCATGGGCAGTTGTGTCGCTTTATACCACTTAAAAAAAATTATGGCTTTTTAAATTTTTATTGAATTGATATTCAATTATTTTTTGTGAAATTACTCCACTAGTTTCTTATAATTATTAACACTCAGAAAAAATCCCTTAAATCCGACCGGATTCGAACCAACATCTTCTAGCATACCTAGCAGTCTTATGACACAGTATGCTAGAAGACGTTGGTTCGAAGCCGAACAAATTGTTTGGAAAAAAAATTTCTGAGTGTTCGATCTTTGTATTAATAATTATAAAAATTACAGTCTGATATAAAACTTTATGGCAAATCCATAAACGGTTTAACAGTCATTGTTATGTTTTTCAATGCAGTAGCATTAAGCACCTGCATTGATGATTACAGCCAAAATGGTCAGATCTATATTGATACTTTAACATCAATGTTCATGATGTCACTCAAAAGTTAAAATAAGACTACACATACCATGTGACAGTTGTATAACAAGTAGACATGTCAGTAAAGGATTGTATGACACATGTCAATGTTAGATTACCTCCAAGTTACTGTTGCAATCTAAATTGAAGCACCATTCAGGTTGTAAAGGTAAACTGTCCATCCTTACATAGTAATAAGGTCTTCAGTGACTATTCACTTTAAATTTCATCACAAAGAAAACTTATTTATTAAACAGTCATTTTAAAAACCACTACTTAAAAGATCTGTAAAGCAATATAGATAATATTATCCTGTCAACATGCAACAAACAAAATTTACCTAACCTACGCTTCAATGGAAACCTTAAAGGCATTATAGAGAATAGAATAATGCGTCAGTAAGACCTCGACATTGCCATCGCCTAAGATGAAGCTTCATAAAATAATATTAATTTACAATCGTATTTAATTGAAAAGGATATAAATTATGATGGGTACGGCTTGGGCAACTTTCCCCACTTCTTCGTCAGTTTGCATTATCTTTTTGATCCGTCCCTAAAACCAAACAATGTCAATAACCACTAATATACTAAAAATTAAACACAAAAACAAAACATTTTTTTCATATTTCATTTGTAGGAACACGAATTTCAACTTACAGCCGGGAACCGTGCATTGTATTTTCTCTTTTTCGACGGCATATTGCTTTTCCGTTCACTTTAACAAAGAATTGTGGCAAAAATAAGCTCACTTCGCCACAAAACTGTGATACATCTCGCGCATTTTTGAGGTTATAAAAGGGGGACGTTCGCAGCCTCTTCATTTATATACGAATCTGACAGTTTCTCCACCATTTTTTGCGTCATGAATTTCTGTTTCAATAGTTATCTCAAAATTTTGCGTTATATTGAAATGTTCAGAAAGAAAATAGCATAGAAATGGTTTAAATATCCCTGAAAAATTGCAAGATCGCCTGTATTTTTAGATAAATACATATTTTTAGGCTGATTGCATAGATTCTTTTGCCAAAAAGATAAAATTGTATTATTTCGTTCAGGAATTTTAAAGCGTTCTAAAAATATTATACATCGAATTTAAAAATATAAAAGCCTGAAAATTGCCTGGAGGTCATTTAATTAATGTAAATTATATTTATATATTGAAGATTACAAATTCAAGTACCATTATTCATTAGATTTCTTTGTTTTCTTATGTGTGGTGTTTGATTATTATAAATATATGTCAAATCCGATATCTTTTCAGACGATACTTAAAAAAGTACACTACAAAATGTCGTCGCTGTCGAGGTGTGTAATTTTTAATTTATTGTAAATTGTCTTATTTTCTTGCAATTCCATAGTTGAAACAAGTTCAAAATATAAGGATCTTTTTAATTTCTATCGTTATTTGTGTTACATTACTTCTATTACTAAACGAAGTACCTACATGTATAAAGTGTTATTTATCAACAATATGCTTATTTTTCGTATTTTTATGAATGTCTTCATAATTACGCTAGCTATTCTTCTTTCAAGTGCACTTTATTCGGTATTCATACTTATATTTGTTTTTACAACAGAATTTCACGAATATAAACCTTTGAATAACGAATAATAATACGTAGTAAAATAACTAACATTTAGTGATATTTTTCAGCCTTTTACCTGCTCCTACACAGCAGGTGTGGGATCGAGATGACGAACGTAAGGCTCAGCGTGTCGGCAGCGCGCTGGTGGTCTCGCAGAGTAGCGTCCCGCCTTATGGGCAGAGGAGAGGATGGGTGCCCCGAAGGGAAGAAGACTACGGAGGTGAACTATATTATTTCTCTTTTTATATCATATGACATGCCATTTCCAATGTACCTACATTATTTGTCCACGCATAATATTCAGTGTGTTTGGGAATCATTTTGGCAAGGACATGTCTGAATGAGTCCAACATGCTTGGGACCCAGCATGGTGGTGGTGACAGAAATGGTGTCAAAGCCAGAATTTTGTATGTTTGGTAGTCTGCTAAAAGACACCAACAATACCAACATTTGAGTTGAGTGTTGAAATTGATATGGTGAATAGACTGTAGCCAGTAGTGTAATCCTAAAATAATAACTTACCGAAACTCATAGTTTATACAATAAAAATTAATAAATATTTAAATGATAACAAACAGGTTTTATAGGTTAGGAATGCACAATGTTTGGTTGTCTTGGCAAAATTTTAGAAATAATGCAAAATGCGTTTCTTTCCTCCATACTTTTTTTTTATGAAAATGTTTATTATTTTACGTTATTTTTAAAATTTCTCGTACTATTTACTTAAAACGCTTAAATCAATGACTAATAAATATGTTTGACACCAAGAAAAAAAATGTGTTTTATATGGGTCAAATCTTGATTGCATCCCCCATTCAGTAGGTTAGGTCAGGTCAGTATGTGAAGAATCTGCACAAGCCGAGTGAGAGAACCAGGCATGCTGTGACAGCGGCAGGCGAGTGCCAGAAGCAAATTTGTTTGAATTTTCAAGTCAGATTATGTGTTTTTGCTTGGTTTTTATATGAAATATACTTTATCATATATCTCAGGAAGAGGGGGTGGGGGGTTACTATTAAGTGTGCTGGCTTGTTAGTGACCAGCCATAAAGGTACTATGCAACTGCTATTGCAATTTTTTTTCTGCTCTTCAATGGCCAGGAGTTTACAAATTATTTAACTTAAAAAAGTATATATTTAACCTGAATACTAAATTGCTGATTAAGTTACGTAAAAATTAAGTTATGCATAGTAATTTCCATGGTAGTTTTAGTAAGCTAACATCAATCATTAGTCTGTCCAGTGGTTTCAACAAAATTAGCAAGTGGGCTCAATATAGGTAGGTATTACGAAAACTTGTGTGCCTTCTCCATTATTCATTCTTTTTTAAGCTTGTTTTTAATAATGTCTGTAACACATATCAATGTCAACCTTGTACGGTCAGACCATGTGAATTATCATATCTGTGCAAGTCACTTCCATGAGGGGTGACACCTTATAGTGAGATGCAAGCCGCACACAAGATGACTATACCTGTCCAATTTCAGAGTTTCTCTACAATGTTTGAAGTTGTAGTATTCAACTGGAACCATCGAGTATAACCAAAGAGAGACGTCAAACGCTAAAATGTCATTTAATTTGTTTAAAAACTATTCTGCCAAATCATTTACGGTGATATCTGCGCTCTGATTAGCCAGCCCAAATTCGAAACAATTGACGGACGTCAAAACGACCAGTTTAACTTGAGCTTTGCTATGATGAACGAAAATGGAAAAATTACATATTTAATTACTGATGAAATGAGATTCAGTTTGTTTTATAATTAGATGTTTTGCTGTTTTTTCCCTCACCACCGAATGGAACAGCCCCCCATTGCTAGAGATATTATCTTTATTACAATAAATACAGAATATTTTTGGATTATACGAAGACTTACACACAATCAGTTGTTGGTGCTGTGCTATGCCAGTGTTGATAAGTTACCAGGGATAGATGGCCTTATTTTGTCTCTATTTCTGGTTATATACTCGATGACTGGGACTTTCGAATGTCCAAAAGGTGTACTGTACTTAGTAACTTATCATTCTTACATATTATCATGTTAATTTCTTTCCAGATGGAGGTGCATTCCCCGAAATCCATGTAGCCCAATATCCCCTCAGCATGGGGGCAAGAGGCAAGGAGAGCACATCTAATGCTCTAGCTGTCCAGCTCGATGAATCTGGCCGAGTCAAATATTCTGCTATTGCCAAGCAGGGACACAGTGCTGATAAGGTAACATTTTTATCTTATGAATCTTGCAACCAGATTTCAAAAGAGTTACAGGTGTCTCAGCTTGTGCAAAAGTGCATATACATTTGATTTTTTTCCTATTTCAAACCCTTATGGTCATTATTGTAGTATTATTATTCAGTTTTGCTTGCACTAAAATGCCTGTAACAGTTTTTTTTTTTTCAATTTGTACTTGCAACTGGAACTGTATGAGGCCACACACATTGCAGGCTACGGAAACTGATGGATAGAGCAGTTGGCCACTGCTAACGATTATATACATGCAATCCTTGGTAATTGAGTAAATGGCAGGAAAGTGCTAACCTGATGTGGGGAACCTCTACAAATCATCTTAGCTCAATGGGTGTTGAAAGCCTTTAAAAAGCTTTGCCAATTTTATATGACATGCTGTTCTTTCATACCTCCTTGCTAAAGCAAGTGACTACATCTTAAATTAATGTATCAAACAAACAAACAAACTAACAAAAATATTAATCAATCATTTAATTAAAACAGTACAAAGTAGTATCGGGCTATAGATGTAGCGCTCACTAAATGTAATGTTTAATTTGCAGATAATCTACTCAAAACTAACAGACCTTCTGCCATCAGAAGTCCTAGCAGAAGATGATCCTACCCTCCAGAAACCCACAGATGACGACATCCAGGATATCACAGAGAAAACCAAACAGGCACTGGAGAAATTGACCAATGCCAAGATCTCGGCTGCTATGCCTGTCAAAGCTGCACCTAAAGCTGTGAGTTATTTTTTTTTTTGTAAATGGACGTTGGCGTCAGTTTTGGCAAACACAAGCTAAAATTAATTTATGCTTAGTGCATCTGTCTCTTTAATATTATAAATGAGAAAGGGACAGAATGCTTAATCTAGTTAAAAGCCGTCAAATACAGACAGATTTTTATTAATTTACTCGTACAAATGTGCATGCATCAAGCGGCACTTAACGAACTTGAACTGCTGGAAAGGTTAGAATGCTGGTTCAGTCAAATACAGTTAGCTGAGTAATAATAAAGAAAAAAATTGGGCTTATGATATTGCTTGATATTTCATCCATGCTTGTAACCAGCTACTCTGTGGATTTGTTGCTACATACCATCACGCCTGTCTCCCACTAGGACAGGCTCGGAATACAAACCTACAGTTGCTACCCATGTGACAAACCTTCCTCCACTTGCGTCAATTTCTTCAAACATTGCATTTTTTTGCATCTATATATTCACCATTTTGTAGCAGTAGTAGAAGTAGAGCTCCTTATGGAAGAGTTCAGAGTCCTAGAAAGTACTGCAACCTTACCTATTACGGTTTTCGTCGTTTTGAAGGGTAAGGGGTGCTGGTGAAGTTACAGGCATAAGGGACTTTTCAACTTATGTGTTTATCTATCTATGTCTTAGGGTGACGGGCGCAGTGGCAGTGCCTCTTAGATCGTTGAGATTTAAAGCTCTGAGTGGCACTGCAACTGTTATGGACTAGCGTGTTGTTTACCATCAGGTACACGACTAGTTCGTCCCGTCACATAGTATCATAAACAAACCTATCCCATATGGTAACCTATCACAAACTCGAATTATTTTTTCCGAAATAACGTTTGGTCGAATTTTCATTACACCGAAATTATATTATAACGAAACCGTTGTTCTTTCAGGATATGTTGGATGTTTATCGCAAAGACACGATTAGGTTCGGTTAGGTTAAATTAGGCTTAAAGAAAAAACATTTTCCTTTCAAAATTACTTTCGAGGTTATGAAAATTCGAGCAAGCGTTATTTCTGGCAAATGTATTTCGTACTACTGATAGGTAACCATCTCACGTACTAGTTAATATATCTACTTCTTAAAAACACGTGTTATTAAGTAACTTCTAACAATCTCCAAACTAGCTATCTTCTCTACTCTGACTAGAGAACACCAACCTATTCCATGCGTTGATAGTATTTGCTTCTTACAGGCGCCTGCGCAGTACATCCGGTACACTCCCGCGCAGCAGGGTGGCACCTTCAACTCGGGCGCTAAACAACGAGTTATCCGGTTAGTTGTTGATGATACTTTAACTATATTGACACGAGCTTACAGCTCATGATATGAAGTGTCAAACTAAAAGTACAGAAAGAGAAATTCAGTTATTAACAGTGATTGGAATAGGTAGAGTATATTCACCTAAACTTCGAATAACAGAGACAGAAAGTGGAGACTTTATGACAAAATTTTTTGTCCTGGATTTTTTTCGGGATTCGGGAAATCGCTTAAGCACATTAAAAATTGACGTTATTTGGTAAACCAAATAACTATTTAAACTATATTTGTTAAACCAAATAACTATTTAAACTATATTTGTCTAAACTTTGCGACGAATTGTTGCAATCACCAATTTTTCGGAAATTTAGAAGTATTCCGACAAAAAAATTTTTACTTAATACATGTAATTAGAATTATTGAGATTATATTTCAAACATACTGTTTGATTTATGGACATTTCTCCGGAATCCTAAAACTATTGCAACGACTCTTCGTGTAGTTCTAGTTATGCGTTTTAACTTTCTGACTCGATTTTCATGTCATAATTAGAAAGAAAAAGAAAGAGAATTAAACAATAGGCAACTGGCTAACAACTATAGTACATCAATCAATAAATATAGTTTATCTACCTATCCCAAAATAACGTAATTTTTTAGTGTCCTTAAGAAAAAGACTAAGTTGACTATTGTCAACACTAACCATGATTGGAAAGAGAAAAAAAAGGCCCGAGGGTTTTATTTGGGATATTATAGTAAAGTTAATGCAATCATAGCAAGTGTAATGAAAAACATTGAATGTTTCGGGAATTACGAACCTCTGCTCCGAAAGCCCTCGAGTCTTCGGGCTTGTAATAGAGTCTCGTTCGCAATTCCTTATTTACCGCGCTTTATACACTATGTACTATTATCATGACAAGGAGGACAGAGTTAGTCAGGAGTTATTACTTGAACAATAACGCAAGTGCTCAATGATTTAGTGCATGTTGGTAACGAATTTTTTCGAAAATTGGTTGTAGTGAAAAAAAAGGATCCAATGCACATCCAGCCACTTTCGAGATATGGCAGTTTGAAGTATAAAAGTGATTCTCACTATTGTTTATTTTCAAAACTTATAATGTCATGTAACTCCAGAGATATTTATTTATGTTTATATGGATTTTTTGCTGATCTAAGAGGTTAGACTTTACGAACCGTTTGGTACATTAACCCATTTTTTGATAATTTTGTGGGTTGGATCCTTTTTGCTTAACTACGTCCAATTGCTGAATCTACTTTGACACAGTTTTGTACTTACTTAAACTTATCACATTCTAATTTTTATCGTAGTATTTATAAAACTCGTGATTTGATTCCTAAATAAATATTTTTTATTATACTTATACATCTGTTGCAACGGTCTTAGACCATCTGTGAGTTGAGTGACTCTATTTGTAGTGGGTTTAATTTTTTAACACCTCTCATCAATTTAAATATAATGTGCTAGACAATCACACAGATCCAACAATCCAGAACACCTAGATAGGAATCAATTTAGAAAAGTTCATTTAACCACCATCACGCAAGAGGTACCGGGTTCGATTCCCATGCCGGGAGAAATATTTGTATGGCCTACATTTGTTTCTGTCATGAGTTTGGGTGTAATTTGTGGTTGTCTATGTGTGTGTCCTTGATATCCGCGATAGTTTCCCTAGTGCGAGGCTGAATGTGTGTGTGTGCGTTAATTGATCCTACCGGGAGTCGAACCTAGGACCGCCCCATCCAGCGCTCATAATATAAACCGTTAGTCTGAGATCGTCACTATTTTTGTTGCGTAAAGATATTATATAATCTTCCAGAATGGTAGAGGCCCAAGTGGACCCGATGGAACCCCCGCGATTCCAAATCAACAAGAAGATTCCCCGCGCGGCACCCTCTCCTCCCGCACCCGTGCTGCATTCCCCGCCTAGGAGAGTCTCCGTCAAGCAGCAGAGGGACTGGAAGGTACCGCCTTGCGTGTCCCATTGGAAGAATGCTAAAGGTACGTTAAAATTCACCTCATTTTCGTGAAAATATAACTCCGAGTTTTTTTTATTATGCCAGCACCTACATCCTTCAAAACCGGAACGCAGTAATGCTCATATTACAGCTTGGCGGACATAAGTATCTCTCTACTGCTCCTAAAACTCCAACTTCTTCAGTGAAAACTATCACTAAATAACAATTTCGGCAATATTTATTTTAACTCTTGCGTTTAAAGTGCATTTTGACAACGAACATTGAATTTTACAGGCTACACAATACCCCTTGACAAACGTCTAGCAGCAGACGGAAGAGGCCTTCAGCAAGTGCATATAAACGAAAATTTCTCAAAACTGGCCGAAGCTTTGTACATCGCTGACAGAAAGGCGCGTGAAGCCGTTGAAGCCAGAGCTCAACTCGAGAGACGGTTGGCGCAGAGGGAGAAGGAGAAGAAGGAAGAACATTTAAGAATGTTGGCGCAAAGAGCCAGAGATCATCGAGCTGGTTAGTGTTTTTTAAATCTCTACATTTTTTATGTCAACCCAATTTACAGGGAACGGGACAACTCGAAAGCGTTGTAAGCCATGGCCATTCCATGGGTTGTGAACCCTCTGGAATGTCCAGGCCTCATCAAAGTTGTGATGTGATCTGATGTGTTTTGTGAGACTAAGGTATACCCATGCGTATGCTTTGACATTACTAGTTCATTTACTATCCAAGAGTATGTGTATAATGCTGCAATGGATTCCATTACATCACACGGACAGGACTTACTTAGAAGGCAAATAGTAGATAAATTAGCAAGAGACGCTATCACGGAATCCATAAAACCGTCATGTAAACCTCTTGCTGCAGAAAGATTACCTATCACTAGTCCGAATTGACATTTTAAGAAACAACGTTTGCTCGAATTTTCATAACCTCGAAAGTAGTTTTGAGAGGAAAATGTTTTTCTTTTTAACCTAATCTAACAGAACCTAATCGTGTCTTTGCGATAAACTTCCATTATCCTGAAAGAACAACGGTTTGGCCATAATTCGGTTTTCGGTTAACAGTGATAGGTTACCCTGTAGAAATCATCCCATTTGTAAGAGAGCTAAATATGGATATGTGGAGTAAGATCTATGATGAGATTTCTGAAATGAAAGGAATTTGGTACAAAACTGTTCAAGTGTTGAACAGTTTTGGAAATGAAAGCCCTGGTTTGTGGACGGTGCACTTTCTAGAAATGCATTGGTCTTTGACTTTTAGACTACATACTGGCCATCTTCCCTTAAATAAGTTCTACCGTCTAATAAAAAGAACGGAATCTCCACTATGTATTCTTTCACTGTAATTCTGTACCAAACTTGAAGATATGCTACATTTAATGCGATGTGGCCATTATATGGCTCTAACTCTAAGAAGCCAACCGGTGACGCGTTAGCGAAGAGGGCTAAAACTCTATACTCATGTGAGGACATGTCTCTCACTACGAGGCGAGACGATATAGTAGAATAGTGTTACAGGCCGTATTGAAAATATGATTTAAAAAATAATGTTTTCCTCAGTAAGAGGTATTGCCACTAACGTTCGAACCTTCGATATGTTAATTGAAAAGCAACCATTCTCCCACTGGGCTAAAAATGTTTTTATTATAGATTATAGCTTGTCTACAATATCACTTTCATTCCTTTTTTTTTTTTCTGGTTTCTTTGGTTAATTGGTGTCTGATATGCTGGGGCAAAGCTAGTAATGATTCTATAGTCGACTGTAATATACGACAATTATCAAAATGCACTAGGAAACGACGAACCAATCATGTGGCTTTAATATCGCGAGAAGGTGCGTCCCCATTATGTCGTGACGACTGATAGTGATTAACTGTTGTTCACGACTTTTTTCACGTTACGACGACAGGCTGTCGTGATAATGGCAAGAGCTAGAACGACAGTCGTCAGACGATAACTTCAAATGATTCTGTCGTTCAAACGACAAGGCGGCTGCCGTGAACTGGTAAATTGTCGTCACGATCTACAAAACGTTAAAATAACGATAAAATAAACGTCCACGACACGGCCACGACAGATGTCGTGATATGGGAACTGGGGCTAGACGCGACAGTCGTCCAACGATAAATAAAACGTTACAACATATATACATATATTTGAAACGGTTCTTTTTGTTCGGAAAAATCTCACACTCTTCAGCAGGGTGGAAAGGACACGAAGACACAATAAATTGAAACTGGTTGCCTGTAAGACTACCCTCTTTCATGATAATATTTGTGCGATGGCGCCAAAACTATACAATAAGCTGCCTAATTATATACTTGAGACTAACGACAATGCCAATTTTAAAAAGCAATTATTTAATTTATTGACTGGGAAAGCGTATTATAAAGTCAGCGATTACTTAAATGACAAGAACATAGAATAATAGTTAACCACCACAAAATAATGACATAAATATAATTAAGAATTAAAATTAAAATTAAGATTTGACATTTTGTAATTAAAATGTAGTAGTATACTGTTAAATTAATTTAATTATGTAAATTGAATGCCGTTAAATTGGCAATACGTACTGACACAACAATGTTAAATAAGACCTTATAGACGTGCGTACACAATAAATGATTTGATTTGATTTGATTTGAAACATAATCTGAACGTGTCCGGATATGCAGAATTCCATTTAAACTGACCAATTTAGTAGCAGTAGAGGTCCTTGTGAAAGAGCTCGTCCAGGGTAGTACTGCCACTTTACCTATTTCTGCCGCCACGCAGTAATGTCAACATCACTATGTTCCGGTCTTGAAACGTAAGGGTGCTGGTGAAATTACAGGCACATGGGACTTGTCAACTTATGTCTCAGGGCGATGGGCGCAATGGCCAAGTGCCCCTCAGAACTTTGCGATTTAAAGCTCTGAATGGCACTGTAACTGTTATGGACTGGCGTGTAACTTACCATCAGGCGCAGGACCTGTTCGTCCCATCACTTGATGATATAAAAACAAAAAATTGCGTGGTCTAATCACATTGATAGGACAATTACGCTCTGCATTTGAACATGATTGAATGTCGTTGACTGCTAATGAGTTTCACGTACTACCAAAATCTGAAACAGTATATCCCTTGCAGGAATTCGAGCGCCTGAAGACGAGATGGAACCCGTAGAACCTGACGAGAGCGGGCTGACGGCCGCCGAGAGGGACAAGCTCAGGGCCGAACGCCACAAGGAACGGCAGCGAGAAAGGAACCTCGCGAGAGCCGCGCCTGATAAAAGGTCATTTTCAGCAATAATTATTTACATAGCCCCGCACTAGGGAAACCCCGTGTCGCGGATGCCATGAACACACACATAGACAACCACAAATACACCCAACCTCACGAGATAAATCAATGTAGGCCATAAAAATATTTCTCCCGGCCCGGGAATCGAACTCTGGACAGTCCGGCAAGGTTCGACCACGGAGGCAGTTAATATAATTTAATAGAACAATTGGGACAAAAAAGTGCCAGTAGTTTAATAGTAGTTTTATAATAGAACTAGTGGGAACTGTCAAAGTACATGTGCAAGGATATATGAATCAAACACGAGAGCTTAGTCGCAACTGATCTCTATTTTCCAAACTGTAAACTACCCCCCATTACATAACATAAAGATAATATCAGAATACCTACAGGAACAAAGATCTGATCGAAAAGTCTACCTCTCCCTACACTTCCATTCACTGATGTTATACATTTTGTTTAATACAGAATTGATATCTAATTACAGGTCTAAATTGGTAAAGGACAGAGAACGCGATATCTCCGAGCAAATAGCTTTAGGCATGCCGGCGAGGCAGCAGCAAAGCGCGGAAGGAATGTTCGACCAAAGACTGTTTAATAACAGCAAGGGAATGGACAGTGGTGAGTACCAACTACTTTCTTAGCGCGTCCGAATCCGAGATTTGTATAGAAATGTCGGATTCACTTCGGATGTCGCTTGTGCACTAAGTCCGACTCGAATACGACGCAGTAAAACCATTTTCGGAAATCCCGAATTCGAAAACAGTAATTCATTAATATTTGGTGGTTTTAATAACTCTTATATCGCTCGTTGTTGCTATATCTATACATCTAGCTGTATCGTCACCTTACTCTCTCAAACTCGCATCTTAAAGCACAAAGTTATTGAAACTATTTATTTTTTTATTGAATTGATGTTTAATTATTTTTATTATTATTATATTAACCTTCGTTTACCCGCGCATTGGTCTCGCAGTCCGACGATTACCATTTGCCGTATTTTTTCTTAAACGGAAAACGTTAGAGCTTTGGACTCACTGCTAGCTGCATGATTTGTGGCTAACTTCCTTTCAGCGTAACAGGAGTATTCGTGCACACAACACATGTACCCGTACACGATGACGAATTATTTGCCGATTAGGAATACTGTAACTTACCAATGCTGTAATAAAAGACTGTTTATCTCTTATGAAAAAAATATTTCCTATAAAACTTTGCTTAATGCAATTTTACATATTACCTTTTAATATTAAACTTAATTTTACAATGATAATTTTCTAAACAACATACTATAACGGCCCTCGAACTTTCGGTCACACGCACCGTGCGCCGGTATATGGGCTACACTATTTGGCGCGGGTATAGTAAGGTTAAGCAACCGAACGAACCAGCGGACCTCGCGAATTTTTCTATGTGCTTGTTGTCGTGTCTATTTGGTTTTTCAACGACTTTTTACCCGTAGCGCCATCTATGAGAAATCTATGAAAGTATTTCGTCACCCAGTTAGATACCTTTACAGCTACCAGCTTAGTTGGTATAGCGTCTGGCACGCTGTGCTAGAAGACGTCGGTTCGAATCCGGCCGGATCGAAGGAATTTTTTCTAAGGGCCGTATTCCAGAACTCTACTTAATGCTCAAGTCAGGATTTGAGTATGGTTTAAAGCACTCGAAATCATACTCAAGTCCCTGCCATTAGGGTCGTATTTCCAGTGCTTGAAATCATACTCATATCCTGACTTGAGCATGGTTTAAAGCACTTGATATCATACTCAAGTCCCTGCCATTAGGGTCGTATTTCCAGTGCTTGTGTTTCCAGTGCAATCCTGACTTGAGCACTGAATAGAGTTCTAGAATACGACCCTGAGTCTTCGATCTTTGTATTAATAATTATAACAAACTAATGGATTGTACATACAACTTTTACAGGCTGATGTCACATCACATTTCCTTCGTATTCACACACTGGCTTTTACCTATTCTTAAAGTAATGCATCCAAATTAACACCCTTGATAAGAAATTTAAAATAAATATAAAGTTTTCCATGTCCTGAATAATCACTCTATATAAGATACGAGTTTGAGAATGTAAGGCTTCAATATTATTCTAGTTAGTGAATTAATGTAAAATATAATATTATGTCCATGTAAATACCTAATGAACATGTGTAATTATTAGGATTCTATTAATTAATTATAGATAACAGATTCGCGTTAGAATTTTTGCTATGTTGCCGTTTTGACCACGTAACGTAATAAATAGTACGAGAAGTGATAGTTAACCCTGCCTTCACGCAAACATTTACGCGTGTGCAGATAGTGCCTTGATGTACGTAGTGGTAGTAGGTAAATAACTTTCGGCTGTTGTAGGGAGTGTACGGGGTGTGCCTATGTCTATGTCACACCTATATATGTCGTCTAGAAATATTTTACAAGTGAAGTTGACTGTCTTTAGCTCAGTGTTTTGTCTTGCCTGCTTTTCGTTTTTTGTGGGTATCAAATGGTTGAATGCTAATTTGATTGAATTCCTTTGAAAAAACGTCTTGTTATATTTAGACATACTGGTCATACTTTCGTAATTTCAAAACGAATTAATGCCTCTATGTATAGTTTTAATTTTATTTTTAACAGGTTATGGCGACGATGAAGCATATAACGTGTACGACAAACCATGGCGGAACCAAGATGGCGTCGGTGCACATATCTACCGCCCATCCAGACATGCAGATAAGGATAATTATGGCGATATAGATTCCATAGTTAATACGCGCAGGTTAGTTGTTTACACAGTACATAATCGCTTGAAAGTGAAAAACCTCAAATGTCAAAATTAACTCGGAGATAAGGCAATGACACGGTCATTAGCTAAATTCAATGTCGGCTGCATGAAGCCAGTTTCGACTGCATGCAGTCACGGAAGAAAAAAACAATGGAAGTTGCCTTAAGATTCGATTACTATCAGAGCAGATGTCGCCAAATACTCACAAATTCGTAATTTGAAACAGTACAAAATCTTAATATTGATTGTTCGTAATTTCAAATTTAAAAAGAAATAACAAATAGACTGTGAACTGGCAATCGATACTATCTCAATCTTTGACAACTTAACAGGATGAAGAAAAAAATTGTTTGCGTCATTTATATAGCATCTGGTTTATTAAATAAAAA